GAGGAAGGCCTGAAGGAGGCGGTGGCTTCCGCAACGAGCAAGGAGGTGGGTCAGGAGGAGGAGTACCAGGCGCCACCAGCTACCACTTAGGGGCCCCTTTGCTGCCCAGGAAAGCCTCCCTGTCGGCTCGGTGGAGAGAGCGCGTCTCGCCCGGCCGTCGGCTCCCTTTACTGCGGGAAGAGGAGGGAAGGCCAGTCCACCGTTGCCTCCAGGGTGCCTGCCAAATTATTTGGCTACCGTCGGGCCGGGCTGGGCCAGGGGCTCCTGGGGAGGCAGGCGAGCGGGAGACTGCGGTATCTGGGAGAGAAAAATCCAATGAAGGGGCTGTTTGGCTGGTGCTAGGGCCGTAGCCAGGGAGCTTCGAGCTGCCCTTCGCACAGTATCGCCGCCGCTTCCGTTGATCTGGCTTTCAGTGGAGTACAGCTCTCACAGTTCTGCAGGGCAAGTCTGTACCTGTGGAAATTCTGCGTTGACTGCAGCAGTTAAAGACATACAATCCTATCGGGGGAAAGTGGCAATTCTGCTTCTGTCCTGTACAATACACCGCTTTGCTGTATTTCTAACACTCAGCTGCTTTTGGCTGAAGTGAGTGTCTGAAGGTCTGTGTAATCGGAAGAGGGAACATAACTCTACCATAATTTCATTCCTTCTTTCCAGGATAATTTCCTTCTCACTTAGTCCTGTAGAAAAAGTGCAATTCTTCTGTTCTTTATCCTCACTTCCTGTCTGTTCCTCTCTTATTTCATATGGTAGGTACAGTACTATCCTGAGCCCAGAAGGCTAACATGCTACCAGAGAAAGACTCTGAAAAGCTTGGGGAGGAGCCCAAAGAAGAGCCATCCGTCACTCTCTTCCGGGAATATCTGAGAATTAAAACAGTCCAGCCTCAGCCTGATTATGGTATCGAGTCTCATTTTTCTTCCTTCCTTAAGGAAAGCCAGGGTTGTGTGGCGTTTTGTTTGACTAGACCTACCACAGCTTTTGGCTGAAATATTACATGTCCATCATCCAAAAGGAGCACATCCTCAATAATCTGGTTCCTTTTATCAGTCAGAGTTGATATTCTTGCATCATTTGTTAGATGAACAAAAGCAAACTGATTTCTAAAGTTCATCTGAATAAGATTTATCTTACCTGTTCTATCCATAATGCGTTCATTGCATTTGCCACATACTGTCATTCTTATTGTGAGAAGAAAAAGCTCACCCAATTCAAATATCTGTGAATTACAGTATTTGCATGAATCTAAACTCCTCCATGCCTTTTTATTCCATATGAATTTAGATTGTTGATGCTGCACTATTTCATATCTCATGTGTATTAATTTTCAATATTTGTCGCATTGACAGACATCAAGCACATGAAACTTGTTACAAAATGAGTGGGGGCAGAATTACTTTTTACCTTGTATCATGTTTGTTTTGATTTGGAGAGCAACTTATGATCAGAGTGTACTATATAACATTATGGTAAGGCCGGAATTCTGGGTTCTTGGTAAATTGTAGGAAGGAAGTTTGTCATTATGCAGAGATTGCTATGTATTTTTGTACAGGTTACTGGCACAATGTGTAGCACCTCTTTGCAAAATGGCTATATTAAATGAAGTTTAAGATTTTCCTGGGCAAATGCACAGTACTAACACATCTGTTTCTCTTGGTGACCTAGTGAGTAGATTTGTAGAACCTTCATTGTAAACAAATCTAGAATAACATTCTGAAATCTTAAGGCCTCCATATTGTTCCTAGAATGCTCAGAGTGTCAATATTCCTCCTTTTAGCAGGTGATTCTTTTATTTTAATTGTTTATGGGCTAGATGATGCATGCCAGAGGGAAGAATTGAAATGCACCATCTTGGAAAGTACTAAAATAAAAACAGTGATGGATCACTTTATGGTTTCGGGCAATTTGCTAGATGCCTTTCCATGGTAATGATTGCTATCTTTAAATATGTTCATAGAATAATTAAACTTCACAGGTAATAGTTGACAAGTGAACTTTAATACATGTTGAAGAGATAAGGCCCAAGATTTCAAACCTTGTCCAATGCTTTACCTCTGGGGCAAAGTTTTAATTCAAATACTGCACATGGTACAATGGGGAAAGGTTTTATAGAACTTGTATTGACTTTTTAAAAAATTAAATATTGATTGAATTAAAAGAATGTCATTGACGTGTAATTTTCATGATGGCTTCCTATTTTCTTCCAGACACAGCAGTAGAATTCCTGGAAAGAATAGCTTCTGAACTTGGTCTGCAGTGTCTGAAAGTGGAGGTAAAATAATGAGAAACCCTTGCTCTTATGTGGATCTGGTCCATTTGTGATTTGTTGCTGCATAGCCTCTTTGTGCTCGTAATTTAGGAAGAAAATCAGTATCATTAATCTTTGGTCGTGCAGGTAGCTTTAAGCTAAGGGACTTAAAAAATATACTTCACCAGCATGTACTTTTATTGACACCAATATAGAAGTGGTTTGTTACTGCTTTCTTCAAGGACTTTGTGGGGGGGAAGGAGGGATTTTACTGTCTAACCCTAGCTTTGCCAGGATGTCTCCTATTAAAGTACTATCCAGATCTAATCTAATTTGCTTTTGAGCTCAGAAAATGTCAGCTAGACCCTGCTATTTGCTGAGTCAAAGTAAAGGGATACTGTCTCTCCTATATATTATTGCTATAGCTCAGTGCTTCAGTTTCATTCCATTGTCAAAATAGATATCACAGTGGTACATTTCATTTCTGATCCATTTGTTTTTGCTGCAATTCCCAAAAGGTGTATTTCCGTACATTGTTTGACTAAGTTTGTTTTACTGTGTCATCTGGGTTAATAATAAGGAATAAGATGGCATTCATTTCAAATTAGGAGGGAAAAACTATACCGCTGTTGTCATACTATAATTTTAGATTCAGAAATTTGAGAATCACTAAATTAAGTTCATAACCAGTATCTTACCTTGTGGTCAGATATATCTGCAAAGGAGGCTGTTTCCCCCGTAAGGCCAAGGAAGTATTATCTATTGCTCTTACTAAGGTTTTGTTTAATGCTCTCCAAGTCAGTATTTCCATCAAGCTGCATTTCTTCTCTCTTTAAATTTACTGAATGATCAAAGGTTTTTTGTTTTTGTTTTTACTAAGCTACAACAGTACTGATTACTAAATGATTTTAACAACTTCCAGTAGCATAAAAAAAAAATTCCAGGCTTGCTATCTAGAAATATGTTGAAAAGTAGTGACCTGAACATCTATCAGAATTAAGTTCTTTAATAGCATATACTAGCTTGCTACAGGAAAAAGTGAACAATTGGATAATGGCGGAATTCTTTTATTTTATGTAGGTATTAACTTGAGATCAGCAACTTACTCCTTTCAAATGTTTTTGCTGTTATGCTTCCCATCTGTTTCTTTTCCCCAGAGTTCTGTGAAGTCTTATTTCCTGTGTAGTTTCAAGCCATGTATCCATGGTACAATCCCAAGTGTGGCAGAAATGCAGAGCTACAGACATGTGGGCAGTAGACTAGAGCACATGGCTCTTTTCCATCCAGTCCACGTGTGCCAGTCAAACAGAATAAATTCATGCTGCTAGAATTAGTTCAGGCAGTTGCATCATTCACATATAATAGTCTAGGGTTACAGCATGGGGAAGTGGCTTCCATGCATCTGTAGAAAGAAGCATATTACTGAGACAGTGATCATTATTCAGAATCACTTAGATGATTTCATTTACCAGCTATAGTGTTAGATACCTTCTTAGGCAGTTGACAAGTTTACAGAGGAATGGGCTATCCAAGCTTGTTCGTCTTAATAGTTGTATATTACTTCTAGTTTCAAAGACAGCATATCTAAATACCAGTTACTGGGGAGCAATAACAGAAGATAACTGTCTTCCTCATGTCCTGCTTGTAAACTTCTCAGATAAATTTGATTGGGTATGAGTAACCCCAAATGCTGAATGAAATAGACATTTGTCCTGATTCAACAAGGATCTGTTTTTAACTGTTTATTAATGCGTTCAGGGCTCTAACAATATTATTAAAAACTGGTAGGCATTCCACATATATCATCTAATGTAATGTTCAAAAAATTGGACTAGCTTTGGAAAAACTTAAATCCAAATCCCCAAACATCATGTAACTGATTCAGTGGCCTTTTATCAGTCATACATTGCAGCCTCACATACCAGAGTCTAGTTATGAAGATGAAATGCAGCTGATAGACAGGCAAGGACCCATTTAGGTTAGCTTAATCATCTTGGACAAAGAGCAAAATAGAGATGTAATAAAACAGCAATTCCATTGTCAGTCTTAAACTAATTTTGATTAATTAGGGCCCATTGGTGTTTACATGGTTCAAGGGCATGAAGATAATTGATTCAAGCTTACTATCGGATATCCGATTGAATCATGCTATGTTCTATTTCAGATTGTTTATAGTTTGTAGTAAACCTGTTGGGATCCGTGATCCTTTGAAGAGCCTGCTATCCAGTTAATCTGTTATTACAGGTTTTATGTCCAATAACCCCAGCTTTATGTGCTGTATTTAGACTGATACTTGTTACAAATGAATCCCATAGAAAATGTTTTTACTAGGAAAAGGCAAGAAATATCACTTTGCTGTACTCTTGCTTCTATTCCTATGTTAAGACCAATTCTCCCCAAGTTGGCTGAGTTGAAAGTGTTAAAATGCTCCTATGTAAGTAAGTCACTTCAAGAACTGGAACTTGCCTTCCTTTCAATATTTATGGTAACCAAAATCAGTTTTATAAAACTGAATTGACTACTAACCTGTTTGAGTTACCATGGCCGTTGGAATTGCTTTGGGCTCCCTCTAATGACCTCTGGAATGTGTAAGCTGGAAATTAAAATTGGGAAGCTGTGAATGGATCCCGAATAAATGGTGGTTTGGAGCTGCTTGAAGAGACAGCAGAAAAAAAATACATGCCTGTTTGGATGCTGAAAATCATTTTGATTTTGCTTGCAATGATGTCCCTCCTGGTGAATTCTTTTCTTTGCAGTTGCTTATATCTGAAAAGCAGTTGTATATAAATATTGTATGTACTGATTATTGCTTTCACTTTTTGTGTCTGTACTTCTGGTATTGTTTTCAGTGGCTGGATTCACACCACACTAAGCCATAATGACAGAGTTTTGCACAAGGTATTAGGCTAGATGTAAGTTGTACATAAAAAAGTCACAAAAGTGACTATCATACAAGCCAGGATTTGGGCAATGAAACTGTGAAATTGTTAACAATCTTGCTGTCTGTTTTCCTTATTAAATTTAATAAAATATTTTGCCATTTTCTTAGAATAAATAATATAACTTTTCAAATTCAATTTTTATTTTATAAAATTCTCACCATGAAGAGAGAGGAGGGTGTGTATCGTGTGCAGTTACTGAATCTTGTAACATAAAGTGAGTCCTGTTTTCCAGAGTGACACACAGAACAATGCCATCTGATTTAATGTTCTGTTACAGGTCTGCCCTGGCCGTGTGATCACCATTCTGACTTGGAAAGGCACAAACCCACAGCTCCGCTCCATCTTACTGAATTCTCATACAGATGTTGTTCCCGTATTTGAGGTTAGGGGAGATCACATTGGGGAGTCAGCAGCAACTTTAACCTTGCTGCAAAAGGAGAGTTGGGGGATGAATGTGTTCCTTCTTCAAAACAATTTGCAATAGCCAGGAAATATTTACTCCAGAAGAGGAGTGCTGGATCTAATCTGCCTCCTTGCTAGTCCCTGTTTTAATTTAGATAAGATGCAGATTATAGTGCTTTTATGAAGGTGTGATGCAAATTTATATGTTGACCATTAATAGCATATTGAAATTCCTTCACTCTCTGGAAATAAAAAGATGAGTTATAGGGATGAACCTCATGATTTTTAAGTCAAAGCAGGATCTGCACTTTCTAGCATTTCCAGTTCTTAGATTTGTGGGAACAGAGAGCCACCTATGGGGGAAAATAAAAAGCTATAAACTAGCAGTAGTTTCTTTAATAAAGACATTTTACTTTACTGTGGATGTTTGCAAAGAAAAAATGATTATTTGGTATATCCAACTATAATATTGGATCGGCAGGCAATTCCTCATAATGGTGTTGGAGTAAAGAGAAACCAAGCACCTTGCTTGCTTATTTATTTACTTACCGTTGGAGCAGTAAATATATACTGTTTATTTAAACACTCAAGGTGGCTTACAACAATGATTATATGAATAATAATTCTTAATAATTATAGCTTGTCAAATAACAAACAAAAAAGATGATGACTAGAGGTGTATCCTGGAATGGAAAGAATGAATTGGCAGAGTATAGCCTCCATTCAGTGGACCTTTTTACCTCATCAATTTGTATAATTATCCAAATGACATAAATTATGTCAGTTACATAAATTTGCATTTAATGGACTAAACAGACATCCGTTGCCTCCGATGATGGGTTAAATGTACTGAACAGAGAAATTTCAGGCTAATTGTGGAGAGAATATAATAAGCAAAGAAAGTAAAAATGGGTACATTTGCTTGGTTTGGGTGGAAAAAGGAGCACAAAGGGCTATACTTTAGTTGGTCCTGATCCTTGGCCATCTTGGGTTTGTCCTCAGAATGAGGTTTCTCTCATCTATTCTGAAATATTACAGAATGATAAGACTTGAGCAAATAGAAAAGCAGTGATGGCTGGCTAAACCATTCTTAGGGTCTCCAGAGTTCCCCACTGAAATATGGTATGGAACATAGTACAAACACAGGAGGTAAAAAGTTTGTTCTTTGGATCCTGACTACTCAGAAGAAGATATAAATGCAAACAGAAAGGAAGCTTAGGGGAATGAGATAAGAAAGGGAACATCACTTAAGTGTGTATAGTTATGTTTAGCAGTTAAGCCCAACACTTTAGCTGTTGAATTATCTACTGGAGGGATAAATAAAGGAATAAGTTCAAGAAATATGTCCTCCAAAATTGTGGTCCATATGCAGTATAAGAGGCTGCATATTTGTTCCAGACATATCTTTTGAGCTTATATTACAGTTGTACCACTGTAGTGGAAAATCGCTTCAAAACCACAGTAGCTACTCCATAGTAGCTGGGTAGCTGTGGTATAAACAGTGGAAAACTGTCATCCAGGGCAGCAAATTAGTTAACATAACTCTGGTTTTAAAACCAGAGAGAGAGAGAATATTAGGAAACATTGTGAAATATAGAGTATAAATTCAGAAAAGTTTAGGCAGAACTTGGAATTGGGTGATGGAGAATTTTTCCATGATCAGTTCTTTTGGTGTGTGAACGTAAAGATACCTAGATCTAAGGAAGCACAAACAGGCAATGAATTTGGGTAAGGGATCAATAGCTTGGTTTTAGAGGATGAAAGGATATATTCCTTTGGATCCTGGCCACTTGACTTATTGAAGTAGCTGACTGAGCTTTACAAAGATCATGCTTCCAACAGGCAGAAGTACTGAGATGAAAGTGGTACTTTAATTTGCTTTAATTAAAGATTAATTTCCTAATCTTTCTTAGGATGCTTCACAATTGGACCATGTTTTCTGACAGAGATTAAAATTAACCACTTTGGAGTTACTGTGTGGATTGCCTGACTAGAACAGTGATCAAGGTGTTAAGAGGACATTTGCATCTTAATGAAGTTCTCCAGCTTCACTTAAGTTACCATAGAAAATCTGCAGACTCACAACTTCAGTTATGATAAAAGGAGGCAGTTAACATGATGCCATCATGATTATCTTGCTCTTGGCCACCTTGCAGCTTCCTGCCATATCATTTATATTGGATAAACCAGTGCCACACAAACAGAGAATCCAAAATGCACATTTCCAAAAGCCATCACTGCTGAACTCAGTAGCAAGCTTTTCAAAGGTCTCCTAGATGATATTTCTCAAGTTAGGAAATTTGAAGGTTTATCTTGATTTGTTCCCAGTAGAGTGTCACTGAAAACACTCAGGCTTTTCCTTTACTGTCTTAGCAGGCTGCCCCATGGGCAAAGCTTCATTTCTTATCCACTCACATTTTTCTAATTGTTTCATTTTCTTTCCTACAGGAGTATTGGCAGTATGATCCCTTTTCAGCTTTCAAGGACTCTGAGGGAAATATCTATGGGCGGGGAGCTCAAGATATGAAATGTGTATCTATCCAGTATGTGTAACGCATTTTATCCTTCTAGTTCTGTTCTAGGCAGTACAAAAGGCAATTATTAATAAGGAAAGCTGCTTTGGCATTTTGTCTCGCAAAATGATGGAAGAGAAGGGACATGGCCAAGAGAGTAATCCACACAAAGGACATTTTAGTTATGCCTGTGAAAGTGGTGGAAATCAGTAAATAACTTGATCCTGTTAAGCAACAATGTCTCTGTCTTTGTTTTGACTGATTGATTGATTATGTGCCATCATGTTGATGTTGTTTCTTAGTGACAACATAGATAGACTTACTCCATGATAATCTGTCCCTAACCTCTTCTTTCAGGTCTTCTAACAGTGCACCTATCACCACCTTAACTGAGTCCATCCACCTTGTTGCTGGTTATCCTCATCTTCACTTTCCTTCCACCCTTCCCAGTATTAGAATCTTCTCCAGAGAGCTAGGTCTTTGCATAATGTGTCTGAAGTAGGATAATTTGAGCCTGGTCATTTGTGCCTCAAGTGAGAAATCTGAATTGATTTGTTCAATGATCCATTTGTTTGTTTTCTTAGCTATTCTGTCTTTGTACCATGTATTGAATAGCTGTGTCTTGATTGGCAATTTTATACATTACCAGCATCTAAAACTCCTGAATTACTGTTAGCACTGAGCTGTTTACGGATGATCCCAAATTTATAGTATTTTAACTGACAAAGAGTATTGTTCAGGTGGTTATTAATTTTTTAAAGAACTCAGTTGCAATACCCCATATTAACAAATCAGTGATTAAGGGTTTTAAAGAAGATTAATTATACTTATTATTTTAAGATAAAATTAATATAGAAAAGATTTTTTCATATTTATTGGACATCTCAGGAAAAAAAATGAAAGGGTGGACAGTTAATTTCACTATTCTGAAAGTATAAAATAATGGAGGCATAATTTAGACATGCAAGATGAATTTGCTCTGCTATTGTCCCATTGTGGTTTAATATCCACAAGTTTGTTAATATGGTTTTGGAAAGAGTAATTTGGTTTAAAGACATACATGTGATTCTGAATTATATACTCCAAATTTGGAATTTATTGTTGCAAATAGTCCTCGTTTAGTGACTGCCTCGTTTAGAGACTGTTCGCAGTTACAACAGTGATGAAACTTTGCCACCAGTCCTCACATTTACGACCTTTGTAAGTTGGTGAAGCAAAGGAAAACTGAAGTAAGATTGTAAAATCGCAATGTTTCACTTAAGTACCGCTTCACTTAACAATCAAGTTGCCAGTCTCAATTATGTTTGCTAAACAAGGACTACCTGTA